TGAAAACATGTAGTACCAGTCTTGGCCTCCATAGGGTGCTAGTGTTATGTACTGGAACATAAAACAGAACTACCTAGTAATGCAAAATAACCACTCATACTGCCCATCAAAAACAATCCCAATAGTTGAAATAACAAATTAAAATTAAAAGGCATGGTACCTGAAATTCTGTTTTGTGTATCATTTGTGGAAATTACAGTAAAATCACATAAAAGGTGACACAAACTAGTGAGTTTAGAGTTCTCATATCATCCTTGGGACTTAACCAGTAAGTTCAACAACATTATTTTTTTAATATATATTATTTTCTCTCTTTCATGGATGGTTATTTGGAATGATGTTAAGGAAAGGAAGTGCTTGGGGGAAAAGAGGCTTCAGAGGACTTCTGCCAGATTTTTTTCTTTAGTCATTGTGATTCCTTTGAACTTGAAAATTCACTTTCATAGCCAAAATATGATTTATTTTTAATATTTTGATTTTCTGTCAGAGTCTTCATAACTTTAAAGTTACTATTTGTTTCCATTTATTTTAATGTGAAACAGGTATATTCATTGAGTTGATGGCAGCTTTATGTGATGTATAAAATTTTATTTCCATCTGCCAACTGTGACAGTTGAAGATACTATAAAATATTTAAAGTGTTTGGCCTTTTTCTTACTTTCTTGCCCACTGACTAATGAATAATTGCACTCGCTTTCTTAATCCTTCTTCTTTCATAATGGGATATAATTGTTTTCTGCACTTTATGTTTACATATTGGCTATTCACCCTCTGTCAAGACAGCATAAACCACTAAAGAAATGATGCAAATAATTCACAGAAAGAAAATATTTTTAGAATGTATTATAAATATCATACAATCGATATTTTTGGAATTAATCACTCTGTGCCAACTGGTTTGGATATGGCTTTAGAAGTGGTAGTTAATCATTACAGATGACAGAAAAAAATGCAAGAGAATTGAAACCTTGAAATAAAGAACAGAAAAGTTTAAAATATCACTTTGAATTCTCACCTTTCTTTCTTTTCTTTTCTGTCCTTTTTTTTTAGAAGTAAACAATCCAGAAACTACCCTTAAAAAAATTCAGTCACTTCTTGCCAAGAAGACAAAAAATTCAGGTGGCTTAAATTCTAGAATGAGATTTTAGAAACCTGTGGATAGATCGCTTCTTTACTGCAGTTTATGGTGGCTCTGTAGCTTACTATTATTTTACCTCAGGTGAATTACTTATTGTCTGTGTCCCAGATTCTTCTTATGTGTAAGTGGTGATTTTTGGCATCTATTGCTTAGGACTGTTATTTGGGTTGAATTGGATTATATATAAATATATATATATAATGCCGTGCACAATTCTTGGAATGTAGAAAACAACAAATTAACAACAGTCATCACTTTCATTCCATTAAAGTGGAATTGGTTTGAAGTATTGTGCTATGTACCAAGGATACTAATTATGTACTATAAACAATTAACTGTTAATGTCACCAACATCTCATAAATATGTTAAAAGAAACCCAGAATTTGACAAATTACATTTTAAAAGTTTCTGTTATTTTTTTTTTTAAACAAGTGATTGGAGTTCTGCCTGTTTTTAGGAATTCTCTATAGACCATAAGGAAGGATATAAGGAAATCTCTTAGAATGTACAAAATGAAGACTCTTGAGCATTACTGACACATATAATAATTTCATTTTCTCGACATGAGAAATGTCACAATTCTTTGATAAAAGTCAATTAAGACTAATACCTGATTCAAAATGTTTTTGCTTATCTTTATTGCCAAGGATCTAAGGGAAAATGAGAATAAACCTAGTATAAGTCAGAAACATGATTGGATTGGATGTTAGAGGTACTGATTGATGGGGTGCCATTCTTTTGGAATGACATAATTTACAACTGTTTTCAATAACATTCAAACCGGGAGTAATTTAGTTGCCTATGTTTCCTCACCTTGAGTCACTGAACGTGGGAAACAGTCAACCCAGACTTCTGGAACCCTCACAGATTCTGTGAAATGAAACAGGGACAGACTGCCAAAACAAGTATCATCATTCTTTGTCTGTAAAACTCAGTAGTAGCGGTGGTGGCACTAAAAGCAATAGTAGGTGGTCCCCCCTGGTGGCCTAGGGGTTAAGCCTCAGCACCATCACCATTAACACCTGAGTTCCATCCCCAGGCAGGGAGCTAACCCACATGGTTCAGCAGAACTCTCCTGTCTCACCTGCTGCTCCCCTCAGCAGTGCATTTCAACAGATCTGCCTGTTCTGCTCCCCACTCTGTCTCTGGTGAATCATCTTACCTCCCTGCACCTCTGGCCTATACCCCAGTTCTTGTATGAATAAATAAATAAAATAAATCTTTAAAAAATAAAAGTCAGATATGGAGTCACTTTATGCCTTCCTTAGCCCCCAAATATCCACATCTCTCATTAGCTATATTAGTAACTTCTTCTGAAGTAAGTTTTAGTGATAGGAAGGAATTCAGTGTCAGTAACTTGTTCATGCTATGTATTTGTCTAAGAGCATGTTTACCAAAGCACAAAAGATAAGGTGTGTACTTTTAGTCAGGAGAGGCTGTGCTATGCTGTGGTAAAAAATAAATCAAGCAGGGCCTCCCAGGTGGTACAGGGGTTAAAGACAGCACTGTCAAGATATGGCCAGCCACTGCAGCCCACATGGGGCAGCAGACCTCTCCTGTCTCGCCCACCGCTCCCCTCAGCAGTGTATTTCAGTGGATCTGCTTGTTCTGCTCCCTACTCTCTCTGGTGAATCCTCTCATCCCCACACCCCACGCACCTCTGGTCTACACCCCAGTTCCTGTATGCATAAATAAATAAATCTTTAAAAAAATAAGCAGCTTAATATATCATGTTTAGTTCCTGCTCATAAAAAGTCAGCTGTCCCCAATTTGTTGATTCATTAATCCAAGATTCTTCCATCTCATGATTCAATGCAAGCCATGTAAATGTACTGAAAGGACTTAAGAGACACAGAATTGCTTAGGAGTATTTCACTGCCTCAGCCCAGAAGTAACACACATCACTTTTGCTCATCTTTATTTGGCCAGAATTAGTCCAAAATTTCCTAAATGCCAAGGAACTGGGAAGTGTAAACTCCCATGTATATCTTGTATCTTTCTGAACAGAAAGGAAAGAAACAAATGGTTATTTTTGAGGGTGTTAGTAAGTACTCTCTCCCATAGTTTGTGAGATAATTTTAAGTAGTACAAAGATAAAATTTTATAATTTTTGCTTATTTTCACATGTATTTGAAATAAATAAGCAACTCATCAAGCCTATGAGGTAATGATTTCATTTTATTTGAATTTAAATTAAAGTTTAATTGCAGATACTATGCTATTATGGTAAAAATGACGAAAGTGGCAAGCAGATGTTTAATGTTTGAACAACACTGAGCCAAAGGACCACTGTAAAACTTAAATTTTGAAATATACATCTCTGGGCAAACTGAGAATAAGAGATAAGGTGCAAGAATTTGCTATTTTACTATCAGCTGCAGCGGATAGCCTAAACCATATTCTGGGAAGGATAGCTTTTTTTTTAATTTATATAAATTTTGTATCATTGTACATTTTTAAAAAATGTTTGCTTCCCCCCCTCAGATGTAGTCCCCATAGAATTTTCTTCACCAGTTCACCAGTTCACCATCACCTGTCCCCTGTCCTTCTCCCGACCCCATCTAATCCCTCTCCCGCCTCTTCCCCTGCAGGATGTCTCTGGTTTATAATTATCCGTTTGTTTTTGTTTTGTTGTGTTGTGTTTTGTATTATTATTAATTTTTTCCTTTGATGGCTTATTTAGTTCCCCTATATTCCTCCTGTAAGTGAAACCATCCTATATTTTTCTTTTTCCTTCTGATTTATTTCACTGAGCATAATTCCTTAATTCTTTCTAGCTCCATTTGTGTTGCTGCGAATGACATTAGTTTATCTTTTTTTGATTGCTGAATAATATTCCATTGTGTATATATACCACATCTTCTTGATCCAGTCATCTATTTTCAGGCATTTGGGTTGTTTCCAGGTTTTACCTATTGCAAATAGGGCTGCAAAAACATAGGGGTACAAGTATTCTTTTGAATCAATGTTTTTGTGCCCTTTGGGTATATCCGTAGGAGTGGAATTGCTCTGTCATATGGTAGCTCCATTTTCAGTAGATTGAGGAACATCCATACAGCTTTCCATAGTGGTTGGACCAGTTTGCACTCCCACCAGCAATGTATAAGAGTTACTTTTTCACCACATCTGGGGAGGATAGTTTTAAAGACTAGTCGCTCTTCCACTGTGGAAAGCAGTGGAATCAATGATAAAATTCACCATTGGGGATCCTGCAACTCCTGATGATTACTCAGTCCACTCCCACCCCCCTTTTTCTAACTACCGTGTTATGATACTAGCAACAGGGGAGAAGAATTTGAAATGAGACATTTTATTTGACAGGCAGTCCCTTCAGAATTGCCATTTCCTTTCTTCTCTAGTTTTCCCTATTGTCTAATATTACTCTAACTGGTAGTCTAACTCCTCTCAAATCGAACAAAATAACATCAACAGTTATTGCTACTAGATCCAATGCTCAATTGACCAAAGTTGTTACCACTGTTGGTGATATGTCAGTGCTTTTAATTTTTTTCCCCCAATCTGTTGTTTCCCAAAGGTACTTGGAAATCTCTTCCAAACTGGATGACTCTGATGTTCTGATTTGTCTATACTGTTCTTGATTTGTATGTGATTATTAATAAAACCCCTTTTATTCTCAAAAAATATTTTGTTCATATGGTAAGTTATATGGTGACACTGCACCTGAGGATTCTTCTGATTGTATTTTATGATGTGAATGGCCAATTTGGCCCCAAAGAATCTTTATTCCATTGCTGTTGGCTAAAGCCACATGGGGTAACTGAGACTATGGATAGTTCTGGATATTTAGTAGTTTCAATAGCCTTTTTTTAAAAAAAGACATCAGCTGTATATTTTCCATAGGTTACCAGGAGGTAGAAGGACATGTGAAAGAATTAAAGAAAATAAGCAATGACAATGATGACTGAGGATAAACAAAAGCATTTTGAAGAGCCAAAGGAACTCAACTATTATGGTATGTACTACAAACTGCCCTAACCTAATCTGAAATGTAAGTAGTAAAACTGAAGATTAATAGCAGTAAGTAGCTTGCATATATATAACTGGCATCAGAACATCTATTCCCTCCCAGTCATTTAATGGTGTGAATTTAGTATCCAAACAAAATGCTTGTAATGTCTTAGGTTTCAGTTCCATAGATGAGAATAGGCACTGTACAATCTTAAGTAGAATTTCAGTTGTATGAGAATAGCCATAATTTGTAATAAAAGTTATATTCAACACATTTACTTTTCCTGGAATTTTACACTTAGATAACACCTATAAAAGCTGCTATTTACTTTCTAGTTTCTTCAACTCTGAAAGAAAGTAAAAAAGGATTCCAGAAGTACAGTACTTCATATTTAGAGCAATGATTAGGCCTGTAGCTCATCAGACTGGCTTTTAAAATATGCAAGTGCCTACAGAGACCACCCCAGGTTAAAAGTCTCTAAATACTTCATGTTGCTTTACTGTTAAATAATGTTTAGAGTTTGTTATCTTTTGTAGACCTTAGAAATCTAATTATTTATAAAATCTGGTGACATTTACATTTTGCTAAATATACTGTGCTTGTAATAGAACATATCTTGCTGAGGAAAATGGATAGTGAATGCCTGATTCTATATTTGGTTATATATAATGTAAAATATCAGGGTAGTATCTTTTTATATTTTTGTTATACTAAAATTATTTGAGAAACACAGTTCTCAAAAAGTGTCCTCAGTTGTTACCATTCAAAATATAAAATAGTTGAATTCACTTGTTCACCATTTAACTCTCAACTATTAAATCAAATATCTGTTCAAATTTATTGGTATCTTAAAATACCATTCATTTCCATGTCAACAGCTACAAACTGTTTGGTTTAGTTTTTGAGATTGATTGAAAGTAGACTGCAAAGTTGACCTATTGTGTTGCCTTATTTACACAAACATAGTGTCTTGGAAAATAAACTCTGAAAGTACATAGCAGTTGAATCCTAAGGTATTTCACATCCGGAGCTTTTAAATATCTGCTCTGCTAGAATCTGGGTAGAGGATCTCTACCGCAGTTATTTACCTACAGGAACATTGCTTCAAAATGTAATTATTCTTAAAATTGAGGTGTAATTTTATGACTTGCTTTCAAAAAAAGATTTTGCTTTTAATAAATTTGAAGAATTTGCCTTCATAAAATAGTTTGTTAAACACATCTATGAAAAAATCACAGATGACATTTTTTTTCAGGCTCCTGAAACAAGTTTTCCTTACAAGAGTTCTAATATGAAATAAATAAAAAAGTAAAAAGAAACTCTAAGAGGAAACATTGAAAATATCAATTTTGGTACTGGATGGTAATAAATAATTTTCAGTGAATTTCTATTTATTCAAGGTTCAATCTTGATGTGTGAGCATTAAAACCCTTCCTGACAGTACATCCCTTTCTGTAACACATTCTTAAATAATCAGCCTATTATATATCATTCTCCCCCGCCAGACCCCCGCTTCCCATCAAGCCTCGATTCTCGCCGCGCTGAGTGACGTGGGACCAGTTATATTGGCAGGGCTGGGGGGAGCAGGGCACGTGGACCAGAAACACTTCCTAGAAACAGCGACCAAGCAGCTCAGCCCTGCCTGAACTTTCCCTGTAAACAGCACGCTGACAGAAAGGCATCCCTGCTGGGTGGATCCTGCAACTCCTGGAGGGAATGGCACTTCTTGTTTTTAATTAGCAAGGTGAAAGGTGAATTAAAACTAGCTGTTTGGCAAGTCAGCGCAAGAGACTTTAACAGTCAGAGGAGAAGAGCTGTACGGGTGAAGGTGGTAGTGCGTGTGCTGGGGTGGTTGTTTTTTTTCTGAATGAACCTTTAGCAGAAGTGACTGAAAAAATACAGTTTCTTCCGAATCTACCGGCATAGTTACTGAAGGGAGCTTTAGACAGGACCTGGCTCTGAAGACTCACTCCTTGGAATGTCCTCTTGCTCCTTACTTGCAAACAACTGTCCTGAGGAAAGAAAGGTTTTGCATAGCCAAGTGCTGCCTGACAAATGGCACTTTGGAATTGTGCTTTCTGATGACAAGGCATTCGATTTCTGACAAAGCCTCTCGCACGCTGCCCCTGGAGGGGAGTCCTAAGTAAAACTCAGACCGCCTTGAAGTGAGGCTCGGAGGACTTGCACGGTGAGCACGGCGGCGGCATGGCACCGGCCGGGCAGGTGATCACCTTGCTCCTGTGGGGTTGCGTCCTGGAGCTTTGGACTGGAGCTCACGCAGCCGATACCACGCACCCCAGGTTGCGCCTGTCACATAAAGGTAGGTCACCTTTTCGGATTCTTTTGTTAACAAAAATGAGAGAAAAAGAAAAACAAACAAACATTAAAGTCATTTGGCAGAGATCCTTGGTCTTCACTAACTCTTAAAATGCACCTGAAAAAAATTTATTGCAAAACTGATAGGAGATTCTAAATACCTCTAATTAATGTCATGCTTACCACATCTGAAAACAGTGCAGAAGCACACTCTAACTTAGAGATGTTATTTTTGTCTTGTAAATACTGGATTTTGTTAATGAGATGTTCACTCAATAGCAGACACAACAGAAGAGGCTAGGAAGCAGGTTGTAAATAGCCTTGAGGAGTAGAATCCACCAACTTAGTATTTAAATACAGATTTGTGTATTATGGGATACAAGGGTGTTGGGGAAGGGCTTTAGAAATAGAGGTGCAATTGGTGTTTGGCTTTTAGTCTACAATGGGGGTGAGGGGAGAAGAAAAGAAATTTCCTGTGAAGCAAAATGATTCCTTACACATGATAACAAAATCACCACCACGTGATTAAAATGACTAACAACTGATATAATTTAGCTTTCTAGTTGAATTGGTTATTAGAAAATTTTTATGCATAGCAAAAACAATATTTAGAGTTTATTTGCAGTCCCAGTGAACTGTCTTGTATTGATTGAAGTTAGATAATATTCACTAACATCTAATCTTTTCAATGTAAATTTGTATTGCTTTACTGAAGATCTGTCTGTTAGAGTGTTTAAATATTTTATTCTGCAATGATGTCTTTTAAAGAAGCATTTAGTCATAAATAAATGATCAAAAGATTGCTTTTACATCAGGACCAGTAAAGCCAGTCTTAAATAGGTTTAGTGATTTTTCCTGTAAACAACAAACAACAGACTAAAACCACACTTTGAGAAAGTGACTTCACTGACTTCAAAGGAATTTGAAATACATTTTCTGTAAAGAAGCGTTATCACCAACCATTGAGACAGATAACAAATGCAAGAATGAGAAATTTACATTTACATAAGGACCATTTCTTTCATTGTATAAGCTTTTAAATTGTTCTCCACTGTAGAAAGAATAATGCTTGTATTTTTTTAAATATTGGTATAACATTTACCAGAAGAAAAAATAAAAAGGGAGGCCCTTTTTATTTGACATGATTGATTTTTTTTCTTTTCATTGGATAATCATTAGTTGATTTTGACTACAGAAATTTCTCATGTTAACAATAGCTAAAATCTGGGGTTATTTTCTTAATTTGAATATATTGACAATAAGCTCCCCAGTAGATAAAATCAATTTAAGAAATACATTGACACTGAATTTGTAAAGTATAAAATATGGTACCTAGCATTACCACAAATCATTTGATTTGGAAAGATGTATCATGGCTGTTTCAAAAGCATATTTCTAAGGAGTTACGATCAAATATATCAAAATGTAAACTGATGTGGTAGAATATAGACAGATAAGGATGTTAGAATAAAACATGACAAATCTTTTTTTTTTTTAAATGTATACAAGTGGATAAGCTGCCAGTTTTGGCAAGCTGCCATTCTACTACACCTGGTATTAACCTTTTATACCTCATTTTTAGGTCTAGGGGTTTTCCATAGTTCATTATCAGTATGTTTTCAAAGACATTTCATTTTAATATTTCACTAGGGAACTTAGAGTTTGGTCAGAGAATACCAAAACCCTCTAATGCAGTTAAATACTATGTATAGTATTGTTATCACTCTCATCTTCATAATACCTCTCTTAAAGGAATAACTGTGACTGACTTTCTGAGTTGTGTTAAATGGTGAGGGAGAATTGCTAATATCTATGTGTACACTAGACCGAAACTCCCAGATTTCCTTTTGACTTTTCTTAACCTTTGATTTAATGACACTAGCTGAATATATGTGATGTTGTGCTTTTATACAAAGACAGTGTAGTTACCTGAAAATAGAATCTTCTCACTTGTGCAATTTATTTAGCGAAGTCAAGCATAGAGATCACACTGGAGAGGCCACCTGAAGCAGCAAATGCTTACTGCAGCACAGGTGCCTCATTGAAAGAGTAAGCCCAGATTGTCAGAGCAAGAATATTCAGTTCCATCAATACAATATGGTCAGCCCACATACCTCTCTATATTCTAGAATTCAGTGTATATTTTGGTGCTCAAAAACCAGGGATAGGAAATTTCAGGGTGTAATATTTTGCTCAATTAAATGATCTTAGTAATGGTACATTTTCAGTAGTGGGTGAACTAGGTGATTCATATTATAAATCAGTGCATGATCCTTTAAATTAAGCAGTATTAGATATAAGTAACATGGCAAGTCTACAGTGCTGCCTGACCCCCAGCAGAGAAATCCAGTAAACTTCCTGGACATGTATTAATCCAGGAATTCATTTCCTAGTAATGCATACTATATGGGAGAAGGGTAATCATTTTTCCTCTATTCTCCACATTCAAGATGGCCTTTGAGACCACAGCCCTAGTGTCCTTTCCAAAGAAGATGGGAAAGTTTCAGTATCACGTACAAAGTTTAAGTGAAATTAAATGAAAATGTTTAAAAAAGGTGCCTAAGAATTGTCCCTTTCCTCTCTTCTCCATTCTTTATCTATGAAGGGGCATGTTCTTAAACAGGGCTTGAGAGGAGGAGACCATGAGGACTAAAAGGGAGAAAAGGCAGAGAAGAAGGGAGACAGCCCGTTGGTATCAGATAGGGAGCATCTTCCAGTTCGTTTCCTACTGACCTCCTCCCACAGTAGGACAGTATTTATTCCTCCCTCGCCTTTTTCAGTGTGTATGCCACTTAAATATTAAGCAAATATACTAATCTAGGGCAAGCATAATGAATAAAAGATGAGATATTTTCTCTTGTTGAGGCAATGCATATATATTTTAATGTGTTTTAGAGGTACAAGAGACTATATTAACAAATAAATATATAACAAAGATTAAAATGGCAAGATGCCATCCTGGTCTGTAGTAATGTTCACTTAAGATTTGGGTTGAGATTTAATTGTATCAGGCAAATACTTAAAAGTGGTTAAGAATTATAGACGGTTTCCTAAAGAGGACATTGTTGGTGTGATTTCTACAAAATTCTGATATTCCACCTCAAGGATTCCCTTGAAAAATAACTTTGATCCCATGACTGAAATGAAGGACAGGATGAAAGATATGGAATCCTGGTGGATTCAGCCACTTCCCTCTGTTGATGTCTGTTCTCTCCTTATCTTTTGCCATCCTGTATTAATGAGAGTAAGAGGGAAGGCAAAAATAACTTTCTTGATAGTGGAGCTTGAAGAAGAAAACAACAAATAAGCAAGGTCCTGTGCCAAAGAAGAAATCCCAGTACATGTGGAAAGCCCCAGCAATTAAATTAAGTGAGCTTGGCAGATGGAGTAGGTGTTCAGAGTCCCAGTACAGAATGACATATTGTACAAGTTAAGAGAAATGGCTGCTTAAATAGATGTGATTGGAAAAGAGATAAGTTAAACAGGAATGGATATGGCAGGAGATCATTCCTACAATATGTTGACAATATAAATGCAGATTTGAGTGTTGAATATGTATCCATACATGAAGAAAGTGGAATAGAATGTTAATTAACCTATCTATATTTGGATATTATAACCAATTAAATACAGATTTGCCATAGTTCAGAGACCTTTAAATTTGAAATCAAGGGTCTCTAGTCCTTCCATTTTTAGTATGGTAAATGTACCACACCATTTCTTTCAATTGAAAATGAAGATAGTAATGGTGTTTTTACTAGTTACCTCACTGGGATTTGAAGAGGATGAAATGAAACAGCAGTATCAGTAAAAATACTTTATAACCTAAAATTTTATTATTAATGTTTCTTTATTTTAAGATTTATTTATTTATGCATAGAAGAACTGGGGTGTAGACCAGAGGTACGGGGAGTGAGAGGATTCACCAAAGACAGAATGGGGAACAGAACAGGCAGATCTATTGAAATGCACTGCTGAGGGGAGCAGTAGGTGAGAAAGGAGAGTCTGCTGCACCTTGTGGGTAGCTCCCTTGCCTGGGATTGAACTCATGCTGCAGTGGATGCCGATAGCTTGATAGTGCTGTGTCTTTAACCCCTGAGCCACCAGGGAGGCCTTAGTAATGTTTCTTGAAGAGTGATATAAATTGAGAATGTTTGAAGGAAATACATTAATAATAAAAGCCCTTAGCATGAGTTTCTATGTCAGTAAGTGCTGGAATAACGCTAATGTAGAAGACAGAAGTTGGTCTATTTAAAAAAAAAGTATTGGGCCTCCCTCCCCTGGTGGTGAGCGGTTGAGTGCTGGGTGGCGAGGCTGCCCGCAGCCTCTGCAGCGCAAGTTGGATCCCCTGCCACTGGCGAGGGTCCCACAAGAAAAAAGTATTGAGGTAACATTGGTTTCCATCATTGTTTTTCTTTTGGAAGTGTAGAATCCCCCTTTCGGTGTTAAGCACATCTACCATCAAAGCACCCATAGTCCAACACCATAGTCCACTGCATTCCTTTCCATTTTGTTCTCAGCCATTCCCCTCTCACTATCTCAGTTCTATGGCCAGTTTTCAGTTAGTTTTTAAGTTTGTGTTTATCTAACCCATTGGTCGGTTTCTCTATATTGCACGTATAAGTGAAGTTTGTTTTAATTAACATAAAATATATAGTTTTTCATCATAGATTAAGCTCACTCTAAATCCCACCTTCCGTATCTTTGACTTCTAGTTATAATAATCTAGAAGATGATAGAATCATCTTTGCATTTTCCTAAGATTTTTGACCAGTATTTTTGCTGTAAAAGCCTGCATATATCCATGTATTACACATATTCACTTTATACCACACATTTTCAATTTTTTCCATTCACATGAAAAGAATTGAGACGGAATTCTAAAAGAGTACAATGACAAAAGTTTCGAATGATCATCCTGAGGCCTATGGTATTTATTTTATTATCCAGAGCAAATAAAAAAGAGGGAGTAACTGAGCTAGTTTTTCCTGACCAAGATCATAA